GGCTTCTCCTCAAGTTTCAGGAGCAACCGACATAGCGCGCGGCACGCCCGATCACGCACTTCATCGAGGGAAGTTCCTCGCACGCACACGCGCTCCCAGACGGACAAGTCCTTGTTGAACAGTTCCACAAGGTCGGGCGGGGGCACGTCGGACCCGTAGAGCGAAAGCATGTTCTGTGTGGCGTGGCCCAGCTGCACGTGTCCCACAACGTCCCGTTCGTCGAGCTGGAAAGTGGAATTCACGTGAACCGACAGCGCGCGGGCGAACTCCTCGCAATAATATGGGACTAAATGGCGAAAAAGACGGCTGCACGCGCAACATATATCAGCTTCAGAATGGTGAACAGCAGGACCGCATATAGCGATGCTTACTACCAAGTTTGACTGGTGGCTAGCGCACTTCCAAACCAAGAGGCAATACTCAACATTGGCATCCTTCGCCCAATTCGAATGGAAATGCAAGAGGCGACGGCAAGAGTTGTCGTTAGTGCCGACGCCGTCACCCGCGACGCAATGAATTATGCGCCACTTGTCAACCATGATGGCGTTTCTGGCCACCCTATCTCTGATCATGTCCGCAATTTGGCGCACTGCCTGGATCAGAGCAGTGCCGATTGTGGGGCCGTCCTTCCGTAACAAAGGTTGTAGCTCAGACATCCACTGTACTGACCAATCCCCACTCGATACTGAGACGACGTCGTTGTGCACCTTCGAAGAACGAGATCTCGTGAAACAATTGCCACCAATCTGGTGGGCGGGTAGGTTCTGGAAAGTGCCCCCATTCGCGCCAGCGTAGCTCCGAAATCGAATCAATGCTTCGTCGTGCACATGCTGTATATAAACAGAGTTGCGACCACCAGGCATAGATGTCTGGAGCTTAGATTCCAATTGTGATTGGTTGCACCTCTTGACAATCTCAGCGAAAGCATCCCGTGCGTGCGAAATGTACTCTGCCGATATAGCTTTGTCCTCCACAAGTGGGAACTCGGACAAAAAAACCTTGCGAGACTGCACCGTGAAACTCGGAGGAGACAATCCTGCGCGCACGAACCATCTGTATTGGACTCTGGAGCCGATGCGGTCACCCCTCTCCGACGCGGCTAAAAACGTTCGGCACGTTGTCTCTTACCTTTCTCGCATTGAACTTTCCGACGGACGGATCGGAACTCAGCTGGCAAAGCTAACAACGATGTAGGCTTGCACGCAGGTCCTCGCCTTGGGGCGATGTTTGACTCTCCGAGCTCCCCATGGAAAAGTGCAATCAAACCAACGATGGCATCTCGCAGCCTCGGCGCGTCGACGTGCAAATATCGAAGAAGAGGCTCATTATCATCTAGTTTGCTCGTCACGCGTTCCAAACATCGGATGGCCTTGACCACTTCGTCAATCACGTGCTGGGGCATGGAGGTCAGCCGCTCCACCCAAGACCTGGGCAGCGTTTGAATATAAGCGGCTGCGGAAGCTGTCGCGACGCAGAGCGTTGCGAGCCCCCTGACCCTCAATGACATGGGTTAGTGGGGCGCGCCGACATGGGCATGCGGTGGAACACGAGACCACACGTGGACCCTGCCACTGGGGCGTCGCCGGAGCTCCTTACTGGGCCACGGAACGCATGAGTGGCGCGCCAAATCGACCCTTCCCACAAGCTCCTTCCCTCACCCCCCCCCGCGCCGATGCCCTCCTCTCCTCCTCTCTCACCTCCCCTTCCCTCCTCGCCTCGCTCTTTCTTCCCTTCCCCCGCAAGGGCCCGCGGCCCTTGTCGCCAGACTTGGCGGGGGGAGGCGGCAAGGGAATCGCAGAGATGTGGCCGTCCGCCACGCACCCAGAACCCCAGAAGGAGAGGAGCAGGATAATCCGCCACCGTGCCCTCGGCACGAAGTGGAGCGACCCACGGCTCATGCAGCCTCGAGACGTCGAGGATCGTAATCGTTTAAAGAAACCGACCCAACAATTCCCGGGCGTTCCTGGGCGTTCTTGGGCTGGGTCTCATCGGCCTCTGGAAGATAATGTTCTGACACCCCTCAAAAGGATCGCGGCCTTTGGCCCGCTCCTGAAAGCCCCCAAGAGGCCGCAAGAGACCGCAAGAGGCCGCAGGAGGCCCCATGAGAGCCCTTGAAAGGACCCCCGGGAGCGGGAGGAAGGAAAAAGAGAAGGAAGAGGAACAGGAGGAAGGAGGAGTAGGAAGTGGAAGGGGCGGGAGCAAGGAGGAGGTGGGGCGCGAGGAAGGCGGAGGGAGGAGAAGGAGAAAGGAAGAAGGAAGAGGAGGGGGAGGAATCAGGAGAAAAGGATATGGACGGGAAGAGCCCCCGCAGAAAGAGGAGGAGGAGGAGGAGGAGGGGGAGGAGGAGGGAGAAGGAGGAGGAGGAGGCAGGCGATGCAAACGAGGAGGAGAGGAAGGGGGAGGAGGGGGAGGAGGAGGAGGAAGATGAGGAGGCGGAAGAGGAGGAGGAAGACGGGAAGCCAAGAAGAGGATGAGCTGAGGGGGGCTGAGGCAAGGATGGAAGAGCGAAGGAACAAGCGCAAGGTGCGGAAAACAAAACGGAATGCAAATGAGGAGGCAAGCGAAGACGATGAAACCAAACACAAAGATAATGGAAACAACCGCTTTTTCATGTTATGCCAAACGCTTTCGAAGAAACGCCGTGGATTCGACGCGCGTGGCGTCTGATTCGGACGCGCGCCCGGCCTAACGTAGACTCGGACGAAAGTCAGTGGGCAGGAAAGACACGCGGCGACTAGTTTACTCTACGTAGCGCACGTGGCTGGACTGGACTACCGAAAGGGTGAGGAAACTTGGAAACCCGATGCTAAAGCAACTCCCCATGAGTTGGCGCATAACGAAGCTGTGACCACTGTCGTTGAACATCATCTTGAGCAAGGTTCCGAAAACCTGCGCGATGCCACCGCCGTGCGTGTTCACTCTGTCAGTCCGCTCGCAAGCAAGCCATATCCACGCCCCTTCGTCCGTCAGCAGCGGCCCGAAATGGACGAAGGAAAGCAAACGACCCAGCACTTACGCTGGCTGTGGCCTGACAACTGGTTGCCTGGGACAACCTCGTCGCAATAGACCACAAGGTCCCACGGCTCGTCCATGGATGGAGGCCGCGAGGAGATGATGCGCTGCATGGCCTTCGCGAAGCCGCCGCCCGCGGCGCACGCCTCGTTGAAGAAAGCGAACGGGCTGACCACCAACAAGTGGTTCACCGAGCCGTCCGTGCACTCCACGGGCAGCTTGGTGAACAACGCTCCGTCCTCGCCGCTGCCGCGCACGACGAGGTCCCGCGCCTCCCTAATGGCGCTGCAGTTCCTGACCTCTGGAAGGTCGTGGTTGCACTCCTCCAGGGTGGCGCTAAGGGCCGAAGCCGACGCGTGAGGAACCCTCCGCCTGAACGCATCCAAGCGCCTGAGCTTCCGCTCCCGCTCTGACCGTCGGTCCATGATCCGCGCTTCGCACGCGAGGGCCGCGCACGCTCGAGCCCAAATGCCTGCGGCAACGTCCTGGGGACCTCGAAGACCACATCATGAGCAATGCTCGTGTCGCCGACGACTGCAGGCCATGTGGCGTGGCAGGCGTGGAATGTGATACGTATATAGTGGGCGGCGCGCCAAGATGGAGCAATCAAAAACACATGCTCAACCGCAGGAAAGCGTTTGAAAATCTCACCCCAACCGTTTTTTTCAGGCCAGATGCAAAAAACATGTCCATACGTGTTGCAGGACAGCGTTTACAACCTCGTCCCAGCAGCTTCTTCCGATAGCACAATTGCAAAAGATATGCTCTTTGCGTCTTGCAGGACAACGTTGTAAAATCTCGTCCCAACAGCTTTGAAGAGTTAAAAGCCAAAGTTCAACAGAAGAGAAGCCAGAGCTCAACATTGAAATCCGCCTCTGAATATGCTCTTGTTCACCTCGCAACATGTTTTGACATCCCCGAATAAACCAAGTCGTCGCTTGGCTGCTTCTAAGTTTATACATATACTATATAATGTTTGCACGGTTAGCATACAGCTCGATGGTACCATATTCAATATAACCATGATAATAGTGTATAAATTCGATATACGTTATAGTGTATAACAGGTTGTGGCAGAAATGCGGATGTATTCAAGTAGGGCGATTGAGCTATAGGCTCATATGGCTATAGGGCTACATGGGCTATAGGGCTATAGGGCTGCAGGGTTATAGGGCTACATGGCTATAGGGCTATAAGGCTATTGGACTACAGGGCTACATGGCTATAGAGCTATAGGGCTATGGGGCGACAGGGTGATGGAGCACCGGGGCACCTCGGGGAACCCCCGGGCACCTCGGGGAACCCCCGGGCACCTCGGGGAACCCCGGGCACCTCTGGGCACCCCCGGGCACCTCCGGGCACCCCCGGGCACCCGGGCACCCTGGCACCTCCGGGCACCCCGGGGCATCTGGGCACCCGGGCACCCCCGGGCACCCAGGCACCCGGGCCCGGCCACCGAAACCGGCGACGTAGGTCCCTACACATGTGAATCCGCCAGGACTCCTACAGAGGCAAGCTCTGATTGGGGAGAAACACAAAGAGAGAGAGAGAGAGAGAGGCAGACATAAAGCCCCCCAATCGTCCACATTTTCCCGCTACGGGGAGGAGGGGGAGGGACCCCCCCCCTCTCTGCCAGCAGCGGCACAAAGCGCTCGCTCTGACCTCCGCACCCCTCTGCCCCGCGCCTCCTCACCCCGCCACCCCTCCTCCTCCTCCTCCTCCTCCTCCTCCTCCTCCTCCTCCTCCTCCTCCTCCTCCTCCTCCTCCTCCTCCTCCCCCTTCTCCTCCTCCTCCTCCTCCTCCTCCTCCTCCTCCTCCTGCCATGCCACACGCCCTCCGTCGCCGGGCCGAGGCGGTGCCTCTGTTGCCGCGGTCTGCCACGCCACCCGGCGAGCTGGCGAGGAGACAGCCGCGCGGCAAGGGGCGCCCCGCCTCAAGCCGCAGACGGTGGCGAGATCTGGCCAGAGGTGCTGCGACCCGCTGGGTCCTCAGCCACCACGCACCCTCGGGTCTGCGCCTCGGTGACCGGCCCGTCTCTGGCTGGCCACGGCACCGACTGCACGCTCCCACCACAGCTTCGACAATGAAGGCACCGCTCCCATCGCGGGCCGATCGCGAGGTCGGGCGGTGCGCCAGCCAGTGATGAGGCCGAAGCGATCACGCAGTCGGCATTTGCGCCGATCGGCTACTGGTGCCATCGTGACCATCGTGGCATCTCGCGATCAGCAATTGGCGATGACGGTCGCGAAATCGACACTGAGATTGGAGGTTGCTCGGGGGTCTGAACTGAATTGGACCCCAGAAACTCGGCCAGGAGGAGGGATCAGGCCAAACCCGCTCAAAATCGGTCCCTGGACCCTTCCCTGTCCAGCAGCTGCAGCTTTGCACCCTGGGTCTGACAGTCCGGGGCCCCAAAACGGCCCCAAAAGACTGAAAAATACACCCCCAAAAAAAAACCCTAGACCAATGCCTCAAACCTGCCCCCCCTTTTTCTGCTGGCCTGAACCCCAAGGCTGGGTCACCTCAAACCCCCAGCCGCCTCAAAAACACACTGAAATCCGCGGGCGCCAAGTGGTGCTAGCCAGCAAAGCGCCGGTCAGCAAGCAGTGGAGTGCACCGGAAGCGACTTGAGGCACGAAAGCGAAAGAGAAAAGGGCACGAGAGGAGGAAGAAGGAGGAGCCCGCTCAGACAATGAAAGCTTGCGCGGGTGTGCCGTAGTACAGTGGAGGCAAGTCCACAAGAAACCTTCCACAAGAAACCCCACCCTGAGACCCCAGGACGTCCATTGATGTTTGGTGTGGGAACGTCACGCCTTCTATAACAAAACCATCGAAACCCAAGAAACACAAGGCACCCTGGAGGCAAGCAGGGTGTTTCTTGGCATGGGCCCCCATAGCAGATGAATCAGCCTGCTCAGGCACTAAGGCCTGCACACTCAAGCGAAACGCACCCCTCGCCGCCGCGGTGCATGAAGGGCCCCAGCAGCCGTCGCGCCGTGGCCTCGGCGGCCGCGAGGCGCCCCTCCAGCAGCTGCAGCAGCCCCTGCGCGGGAAGAGAAAGGGGAGGCCAGGGAGCCCACGTTCTGCATCCCCACATGCTTCGGCCCATGTGGGACACACGGGGACATACTAGTACGACGTGTTCTCCCTGGAGGCGTGCGTCCGACCCGAACGTAAGGGCGACCATGCCACACGCTGCATCAGCACGAGGGATCGCCTCGCGCGAGCGCCAGCGCTGCCCCTCGTGCGTGAGAGGTCTGGTGGCGAGGCTTCAGACATCCCCGACCTGCTTCGGCCCATGTGGGACACACAGGGGCATACTAGTACCTGGTTGTTGTTTTTTGCGCTGAAGCGGCGGCCTGCGCCCCAGAACGACAAACACAGGCGAACGCGCGTGGAGAATTTCCGCGGCCACGAGCAACACCAACGACGACGGAATTCGCCAGAGAGCGTACGACAAGGACATACTAGTACCTCGTGTTCTCCCTGGAGGCGTGCCTCCGACCCAAACGTATAGGGCGACCATATTGTAGCATGTCGTTTCCTGAGCGGTACGGCCAGAAAGCGCCCGCCACGGTAAGATTTCTCGGCGCGCGCGTCGCCCCTCTGGGGGCGAAGCAGACATTGTATTAGTATGTTTGGGTAGCACCAACCATACACCCTCGCACCTCCGAAAATATGATCCAGAAAGTTGTCCTGAAAGATATCTGGGCCAGCTACCCGCAAGTTTCTTACAACAAGTCTGGGCCACTTTCTTTTTGTGTTCACGCTGAAGGGGCGAAGGTGCTCAAAAAACTGGGCCAGCTTTCCACAAAATCGGTCAAGCAACGCTGACCCAGCTTTTCGGGGGGGGAGGCTTCTCAATCAGATGATCGATTGTAGAAGACACACACACAGCTACCACTACAGCCACCCACCAGCACTGCAGCACCTCCATCAGCACAGCCAGAATTACAGAGTTGCCAGTACGGGCAAGCACTGCCGTGATTTGCCACGGCCCCGCTGCTGGGCATCCCTCACTGTCCTGCTCCCCCCCCTCCTCCTCCCTCCTCCTCATCCTGCTCCTCCCGCTTGAGGAGGAGGAAAACAAATAATCTCCTACTGGTTCCAGGTTCCCGGCTGCGTGAGGAGTCGTCGACTGGCGCCCCCGCCCCAAGGCCGGATCGGGCCCTTGCCATGGCTATGGCTATGGCTATGGCTATGGCTACGTCTACGGCTATGGCTATATCGTCGTCGTCGACACCGTCGTCGTCGTCGTCGTCGTCGTTGTCTTCCAAGCCTGCTGCACCATATCGCTCCCCAGACGGGGGGGCGCGCACGACTCCTGGCGACCGTGCCCTGGACCTTCCCTCGATCCTCCGGGCTCCCTCGTGGCGCCCCCGCTGGACCCGCTGCTGTCCCCGCCCCGGCCGCACACGGCCCGTCTTTTTGCAGCCCCACCGCACGTGGCGGCACACATCCCTCCGCACGAGGGGAAGTGAACCTGGCGCGACCCCAATGAAGGGAAAGCTTCCGACTGCAGGGGCGCACTGATTGACGTTGCTTGGCCTTGCTTGGAATTGCTTGCTATTGTCTGGCTCTGCTTGACACTGCGTGGCAGTTCTTTGGGTGGGCTGTGCATTGCTTGGCGTTGCTTGGCGTTGCTTGGCCTTGCTTGGAATTGCTTGGCATTGTTTGGTGCTGCTTGGCACTGCGTGGCATTTCTTTGGGTGGGCTGTGCATTGCTTGGCGTTGCTTGGCATTGCTTGGCATTGCTTGCCAGGAAACCCCAGGATCAAGACTGGGAGCTCGAGGAACCCAAGCAAGGAACAAGAGCAGGGAACCCGACGAAGAAAACGATCGGGGAACCCGAGGAACCCAAGCCAAAAACAAGACCAGGGAACTCGAAGAATCCAGGCAAGGAACAAGACTGGGGAACCCGAGGAGGGAAGGCGAGGAACAAGACTGGGGCACCCAAGGCCCTCGAAGGAAACAAAACCGAGGAACCCCCAACCAAAAGAACAAAACTGCGAAATCCGAAGGAACGCCGGGGCCAACCGCGCCCGGCACCCACTGGCTCTTCACAAACGAGTAACCCAGACATGCGACGTTCCGTTGTCTTCCATACGCAGCCAATGGAAGTCCCTACCCTTTCCCTGGGGCTAGTTTTTTATCCTGAATCGTGTTTGACAGTCCCGGGGCCCAGCGAAAACCCGGGTGAATTTCTGTACCGACGCGATCACGTCTGGGGAGAGCCCCTTCGGCAAAGCCTAACTGAGGGACAAGAGGGCCTTTGTGCCAAGGACCGCCACCTTTGGCCTCTCGTGCCAAGGAGGCTGCGGAGTGCGCACACAATTCCACGATCAAGGCCCCAAGTCTGTACCGCACCAGTCTGACTAGCTTACATGCTACGCTGCATGCATCTACCCTCCTACATGCCAAACATTACCTCAGCACGCCCCCTCAATTCCACCAGACTTGCAGGCCCAGGGATCGCGAGGGGATGTCTGGATGAACCTGGCGCGACCCCAATGACTGAAACTCTTTCTAAGCGGCGTTGCCCAGAACTGTTTGGCAGTGCATTCCTTCGTTTTGCATTGCACTGGATTGCAATGCTTGGCATTGCTTTGCATTGCTTGGTGATGCTTGGTGTTGCTTGACAACGCTTGGCGTTGCTTGCCGTTGTTTGGTATTGGTTTGCATTGTTTGGCGTTGCTTGGCATTGTTTCGCAACGCTTGGCATTGTTTGGCGCTGTTTAGCTGTGCGTGGCATTACTTGGCATTGCTTTGCACTGCTTGGCGCTGCTTTGCGTTACTTGGCGTTGCTTGGCATTGCTTGGCGTTGCTCTGCACGGCTTGGCATTGCTTGGCGATGTTTGGCGTCGCTTGGCATTACTTGGCATTGCTTGGCATTGCGTGGCGTTGCTTGGCCTTGCTTGGCGTTGCTCGGCGTTGCTTGGCATTGTTTGGCGTTGCTTCGCACGGCTTTGATATGATTGGCGTTGCTTGGCGTTGCTCTACGTTGCTTGGCTTTACCTGGCACTGTTGGGCAATAGAACCAACGTCCAGGGCGGGGAAACCGAGGAACCCAGGGAACCCGACGAACCTCCGAAGAACGGGCAACGCAAGAATATGAGGCACAGGGGGCGGGGAACCCGAGGAACCCGGGGAACCCGAGGAACCTCCAGGGAACGGGCGAAGTAACCCCCCGAGGCACCAAGGGCGGGGAACCCGAGGAACCCGAGGAACCTGGGAAATCTCCGAACAACAAACAAAATAAGCCCCCGAGGCAACGTGGGCAGGGAATCCGAGGAACCCGAGGAAGCTGGGGAATCTCCGAACAACGGGCAAATCAGGTGAGTGTCAATGGGGGGGCACGCGGATGGGGGGGAACGCGCGTCTCCCAAACGAGGCAGTTGGAGGCGAAAATTCTCTTCACGTATGATACGTTGCTCGATTTGGACATCCCATGTCAGACGGCGGCTCCCCCATGCTTGCGGCGCAACTTCTACCGAGGCCAATGAATCGCGCCACGAACATGGCGCGCGAAAGCCCCCCGCTCGGACACCCTGAAAGGGACCCAGTGCTGCATAGCACCAAAAAAAGAAACCCAAACAAAAATCATCCCCTGTTTGGCGGGGCACGGCGGCCGCGCGCACGCAGCCAAAGCGTCGCCGCGAAACCCCATCGGGGTCTGACGTTGCCCCACGAGCAGAACAATGCCAGATGCTTCGCGCGCGCATCTTCCACCGCGCAGCGAACCGCCGGCACCGCACCCGCGCAGAACATATCCCAAAAGGCGCAGAGCAACGAAAGGCCCCTAAAGGGCCCCAAAGCGCGCCAAAGGCGCCGCTTTCTTCATCCCCATTTGTAGACCCCCCCTTCATTACCACGCACCCTAGCAAAATGGTTGGGCAAGGCACGTTGGCCTCACCGCCAGCCTTGCGTCTGTCGCTGTCAGCACCGCTCAGGGCTGGCGTTCCCTAGTCACCCTGCTGACTCAAGACTCTCTTCTTGCTACGGACTGTCCGAGTTGCCTCAGCTAGTTCGTCGTCGCTACGTGGGCGGAACGGTTGGCTCACGACGCCTACGCTGCGGGAGAACTTCAGGATCTTCTCCTGGGCCATCGGATTCGCCACCACGTTCGTTTCGCTGCCGCCTGCGCGGGTCAGTTCGAACATTAGGCGCTTCTGCTCGCGCCACTGCTGCAAAGCCACGAACCTGTGGTCGACGCGCTTCATCTTACCTGGCCCTCCCTTCTTTACGAAGCGCAGTGCGCTGCTGCTGTCGCTCGCCAGGACAAGCGCCACGTTCTCGCGCCACTCGCTCAACGGCCATGCCAGCCCGAGCGGCTCGGCTGCTCCGGACACTACTGCGCACAGCTCGCTCTCCGCCGGGCCCAGGGCCACGCCGCCCCCGTGCCCAAGACAGCCCAGTGCACCCGCGGTACCTCAGCGCACCGCCGCTGGCTGAAATCCCGTCGACCTCGTTGTCTGCCCAGTCTGCGCCCGCGCGGCACTGCTACATGTTTTCCAAACGCATTTTTATACTGCTAATACCCCCTCTAGGGCCGCTGCTCTCTCTCTGTTCCCGTCTTCGCCCTTTGCCCCTCTCGGCTTTGCCGTCGCTCAGGTCTCGGCTCGAGGATTTCCAGCGCAATCTACCAGCCCCCTGGATTTTGCCTCGCACCGCGGGGGGAACATATCTCCTCGCTTTTGCGCTGGCACTACGAAGTTGCGGCGGCGCGGAGTGGCTGCGCTCGCCGGGTGGAACGCAGGCGACGCAGCAGACGAGGGCCGCCCTTTCTGGGCGCCGGCCGAGGAGTTTGAGGACTCGGAGGAGAGCGGCTACGTGGCTGCCGACGGCATCGTCGTCAAGGGTGCCAGAGTTGCTGTCCCGATGGCGCCGTAGTCGAGGTGGAATAAGATCTACTACAAGACGGGGCCCTCACAGGTGGCGGCGATGTCACTCGTGTCTCGGGTCGGGAAATCGAACCGTACGACGCGGGCGGCATGCGACCCGACCTTGAGGGTTCAGATCATCTAAGCGCGCGACAAGGACCGA